CCCCCCCCGCCCTTGCTGGTGCAGTACTCGCTCTTATGGTAAAACAGCATTGGAAATGCCTTAAGAGGTAAACCAGTACTGATTAATTGCCTTCTTAATTATGGTTGACCAGTTTACTCTGCATACTGGACATATTTTAGTCAGTTTTGTCATTGGTTTATTTGTAAAAGTATTTGGTTATGTAAAAGTATGTTCCTTTAGAGCTAGAACAAATATGTGATTACTTTTCTTCCTTATTTGTACCTGCGATACCAAGTTTTCAGTATGTTAAAATGCTGGGGTGAATGCAGACAAAAGATTTTACTAGGTTACCTGATGTATTGACATTAAGGTAGTGTCTGACGGTCTTCATCATCCCTTGTAACTTTTGTTTGCCTGCTGGCTTTTTTTTATTTTGTGGCTTTGTCCTCTTCTTGAACTGTGCCTGAGAAATACTGCATGTGAGAGACAGGAAAATCCCAGAGCATCTTTATATCTTTATAAAGTGCTGGTAATGAAACATTCATTGAAAGCATTCAAGTTTGAGGAAATGCTATAAAATGTGCTTGCTTTTTTTTTTATCTTTTTTTTTTTTTTTTTTAATTTTTTTAGCTGGTCTTATTTTTTTCCAGTAACTTTTGCTATTTGCAATTCTGTAGAGTTAAGAAATTGTTTTGCAGTATCACTGGGAAAATCGGAGATCTAAACTTTTTGATAATTCCTTCCATGTCTGTGGGTATACTGAAATTTCTCCCTCAGAAAACAGAGTAAGATACCCAATCTCTGAAAGATTGTCTTGGTGAAGGTCCTGTTGAATCAGGAGTAACATTGTGGCTGCTTGAATTCTATCAGCTGAGAATCTGTTTTTCAAAATTGTTTAGATGAGACTTGCTTGGTGTGTGGCTGCTTCTAATTTTCCCAGTGTTGTTGCTTGTTTCTGCCAAGAAAACGGCGAATCGGATGCCAGATCTTTAAGAAACCTGATGTGCAAAAATAGATGAATCTTTTTGATCATAGCCTCAATCCCTTTGCGAACAGCTGTTTGGAGCTCAGTGAGCAAAAGTGCCTTGACAATTGATAAGAAAACTGTTGCCTAATGCAGGAGCCATGTGTTGGGCTGGTTAATGATCAGTTGAACAAAGCTGGCCTTGCAGAAACTTTCAAAGCTTATTTGCAAACAGAGTAACTCCAAAAAGCACAAGGAGGCAAGCATCAAGCATAGAATTAGGACATTGTGGGTTTGTTTATGCATGTTTTCATGCACAGTATGTAAACAAGCTTTGCAGCCAAGTAGCAGATGTAATACATCATATTAATAACCATTTCGTACAGAGAATGAAATAAAACAAGTTAGTATACCTTTTAAAGGATTTTAGCTGCTGGCCATTTACGCTCCAATTATGGTAGTCTTTTGCTGTTTCTCACATTGCCTAAGTAAAGACAATACAAGTCTTGCTGAATCTGTGTCTGGGGCTGGTGTTATATTCCTGGGTGATGGAAGAGGCAGACCTCTGAGGGAAAGGAGATGGTGTAGTTCCTTAGACTTCTTTCTTGATTGATATTTCATTTTATGAATTGTTCCTCAAAGCAGCAGTGTCTGACAACTGTAGATGTACCTACCTGACTAGTTCAGCTGGTCTCATTAGCTTAGGCAGTCACCATTCTAACACACCTCTGTTGGTTGGAGTAGTGTGCAGAATATAGTTTGAAGAACTGTGTTTACATCTATACTTAACTACCCATCATGATTTATTGCATGAACTTCAAAAACTAAGTAGACTGTTCAAAAGGAGAAAAAAAACCACCGAGAGTAACTCACACCTGAGCTGCTGGGAAAATGTTGCTTTGCTGTTAACAAAGGTTGCCGTATATCAACTGATGCTGAGACTTTGTTGGTGGAATATTCACTTCATCATTAAACGAGTTCTTGTTGGAAGCTGGTTGTTCATGATGTTACACAAGGGGAGATCCCAGATTTAGAGAAATAACTGAAAACACTAATTGAGATCATATGGGTGATCTGAGAGGATGGTGAAAGGACTAAGTTTGTGGATTGATACTGAAATAGAGGGCTAGAAATGTGGATCCATGGCTAACAGGTAACACGGAAGCAGTGCCCTCAAAAACGGCAGAAGTAGAGACGAGAAAGCAAAGGAGTGGAGGAATTGGTTTCCTCTACTGAAAAATAAGGAGCAAGTGCAAAAAGAAAGAGAAAACAGGATGCTATAGGGAAGACTTTAGCTGGTGAAGAAGAAAGCGGAGGTACTCGTGAGCACTCCTGTTCCTGATCTCCGTAGTTCTGCCGATTACAAAAGGGACATAGCATGGAAGTCCATGTTACACCACTGTATATACAAAATAATAGTGTTGTAATTATCTAAAAGATAGCAAAATTTCCTTATCTGCTTCATTTCTACAATATTTATTCTTTCAGTGCAGTCAGATGTGGGTTTAAATCTCATCTATTTAAAAACATCTTTTTGCAGATACTTGAAAAGGCAGCCGAGATTGCAAGAAGCAGTGACAATGCTGCAATGGCGGTAAGCATCTGCTAAACACTATTATTTTAAAAATAATTTTCAAGGTTTTTTTAGCTTTTATCTTTACATCAATCTAGAAATAAATAAGTCAACTACTCAAACAACAGTTGTACTGACTGTTTTTCTTATGTAATACACTTTAATGAACTGCCTTAAAATTCAGGTGTGTATCCACTTTTTCCCATATTTTTTTGACTTCTTGGCTTTTTTTGTCAGAAAGCAACAATTGTTTTACATGCTGTGCTGATTTGGAACACAGCTAAGTTTTACATTAGATCTAGATGTGGAAAACATTCTTAGGCTGCATAAAATACTGCTGGAAAATTGCTCAGTTTTATGAAGTATGATGATTTACCTGATTGTCAGATGTTTCCAGATAAGCTGTCAAAAATGATCATCGATCTATAAGAAGATACTCTTAAATACGATGATTATATGCTCTTCTTGGAGGAATTGGATAGTTCCAACTTGAGGACAAATTTTGAAAAGATAATCAAAATCTGAAGACATTTTCTTTGCAATCCTCTGTATTTTTTGTATATAATACAATTTAAGATGGTGAAAGCGTGGTTGGATCAACAGTAATAACAACAACTGCATTTTATATAAGAATAAAGCAGTTAGATGAAAAATGTGTCAGTTACAGTACCAAGTGTCTAAAGTGCTCAGGAAAAGTGAAAACTCACTGCTACTTTGGGTGCAAACAGCTTAGTGTACAAATAATTGGCAATCTTGAATAGCAGCATGCCAATTTGACAATATTGTGACTTTTAATTTGAAAGATTAACTTTTTTAGATACAAGAGTCGCCTTATTGCCAAGACTGTTTACTTACTGTGATAGAGAAATGGAGTATGTACTTAGTTTCACTAAACAAGCGTGCAATTCAAGTAGCTTTTTAAAGTCTATGCACTCCTAAAGTATTTATACTTAGGTGGTATTTTTACATAAAAATCTTTACTTAAAACATTTCAGGACAATACAAGGCTCAGGCACTTATCATTTCTAGAAGGAGCTAAACTTAAGTTCTGTGTGCAGCAGATGTATTTTTTTGTCAGATGGGAAACCTGCACACAATGTTATTTGGTGAGAGCTGTTTGTTTCTGCTATGAATCCTAATTGGTTTTGCCTACTATTTCTTCTGAACTTTCCTTTGTTGTTGTTTGGTTTTGGGGGTGTTTTTCCCATTAATTTAAAGACCTTTGAGGTACCTCTTAATTATGTAGAAACTTCTTCAGCTTTGTCAGGATAAAGTTGACTTTGGTATTTAAAGCTTGCCATATTGATTTTTCAAAGTATATATTGAAACTAATTTATTCCCTTCAACTACTACCTCCTTACCCAGAAGCAGCAGTTTCTTTTGCCTTCCATTAATTTATGGAGTGCTGTTGTTGCTGATATTATTGCTTTAATTTCTGCCCTTGCAGTTTACATAAGGGCATGGCTGGGGACAGAAGGTATTAACTGAGCCAGTGTGAAGACTCATTCATACAAACTGATTTACAGAATCAGAACTAATGTTAATGTTTTAGAGATATAAAATGGAGCAAAATGTCTGGAAAAGACAAGTCTGGATTAGAAGACACACAAAAAAGTCTGTTTTGTATACTTAGCAAATGTATTTCCCTTTGGTTATTGTTCGAAAATATTCATTGACTTTAAATTTAAAAAAAAATAATTATACATATATAATTAAATTTGCTCACTTGAAAAACAAAAGGAGAAAGCATATGCATCCTAAAAGAAAGTTCTCCATGTTAGAGTTGGAGAATAGAAATATTGCCATCTAGTGTCATTAACTCTGAAGTTTAGTTACTTTTTCAGAAACTTCTGTATACTCAATTTTGAGTGTATTAGTTACAGTTCTTATAGCTTAAGAAAGCTGAAGGAAAGGCATAGTAGTCATTCCCCTGAGTTTCATGAGTTTTATCTGATGTTCCTGCTG